TCTCTCTCTCTCTCTCTCTCTCTCTCTCTCTCTCACTCATTGGAAATTTGGTTTTGCTTGCCTTTGTGCCTTATAGGACGCATATGTGTACTTCATTTAAATGATTGTATTGTGTGAAAAAATATTAATTTGTGGTGCTTAGCCATGTAGTGGTTTCTTCTTCTTGCTTCTGTATGGAATCCTTCGACATTAGCTAGTATTTGAAATGACTAGTGAAAAGCTTGGTCGCCGCAGGAAAATACAGTTGAATGCACAAGTCTATACTTATTTCTGTGAAAAATTATACTTCTTGTGGTGGCTGCTGTGAGATGCATATTTAAGTTACTTAATTCGGTCTCTATTTCCTTTGCATCTCTCATATCAGACTTCTGATGACTCAAAATCTCACTCAAACTGTGCTGAATTGGAATACCTGTGATGTTTATGCGACTGCGTTGGATATATTTCTCTCAACATATATCTTTTATGCTTGATGGAATGTAGTTTGTATCTGGTTATTGTAACATGCATGTTGAAGTTGAGCCCATTGTGCTTTGTATGAGCAGCGTGAGATCCCATGATCTTAAGCTCGTTAGGCAATAATTCTTTGGGTTTCACTTTTACAGTGTTTTCGTGAATTAGTGCCTCCTGGAAGAATCTAACAACCATGTTCTTGCAGGTACTTCATGACTCTGCAAAAAGTACTAGAGCAATATGATTGCGTTCTTTATGAGATGGTTGCTAGTAGAGAGAATTTAGAAAGCAGAAGAAACCCAGAGGGTAGAAACAAACATAAGGCTTCACAATTGCGGGGATTTAATATTATTGGATGCATTCAACGACAGATGGCAAAGCTGTTGATGCTTGATTTTCAGTTAGATTGTCTTGACTACCAGGCTGAGAATTGGTATCATGCCGATCTTGATTTTGAAACTTTCAAATCGCTTCAGGTACTATTAGGTCGGCATATATCCTCAAGAACCTAGATGTTGCTCACTGCCTACTTGTGTTAGCATCTAATCAACGAAAATTTAACATTATTACCCGATTAACTTAACCATGGGAAAGCTGCTTCTTGCAATCACTTTTATATTTGTATCGTGGAATGCCTCATGCACAATCCTTTCTATGGCTGGGTACCAATATATACGAAATTTTTGAGTTGACATTGTCTAGTTGGAAAAGGTTGGCTAATGAGATGTTAGATTACTCTTGTTGCTATTTGATTCTGGGATTTCTCTATTCTTCAGCCTCATTTTATCAATGTTGCCTTGTACTAAATTTCAATTTTTTTTACTCTGACACATTTCAGCTTGAAAAGGGTGAAAGCTTCTTCACATTTGCCAGGGACACAACTCTTAGATCCACTAAAGCTATAGTGCAACCTACTCCAGTTCAAAACGATCTTGGCCCCTGGAGATCCAAACTTCTTTGGGCCTCTCGTGTTGTACCAATGCCTCTTGTTGGTCTTCTCATCATTGGAAGTATATGTGCTGATGTAGGAAGCGAACCTGCATACCCAGAATTAGAAGCCTTGTCCAGGCTCGATTTTAGTGGAGCAATGAAAGTTTTCCTAGCTAAGAGGCTGACGTCCGAGTAAGTGTCAAAACATTCAATAATAAGCCCTTAGTTTTTCTACAGTGAATTTCTCGAATATTGTTTGTCATTCATGGAGCCTAATGCCTTTTGTGCATAATTACTCTTAAGGTTAAAAAAGCATTGCCGCATCTGTCTTATTTTGCATATACTAAATCATGCCTTTATCTACTGATGCTACATGTATTTATTAACCTTTGCTGGTTTCAAACTATTCTTTGTTCTTGTGGTAAAAGTAGGTTCCATTTCAGCGACCAGTTAGTTATTAAGTGATGCGAGCTGTCATAAAATTTTTCAGTTTGAAAAATGGTGAAATTGAATAGTGGTAGAACCATCTGAGCTAAAGTATTAGGCACTGATTTTTAGTTTTGCAAAACAAGACAATAGTGTGTCAACTCACAATTTTCCTCTCCTCTTATGTCACAACCACATAGGATAGAGATAAATGGAAGTATCTTGATATTCTTTACAAGGGGTATCCACTTAATTATTAAACACATAGCACCTGAAAGAAGCACTTAAAAGAAGATATGCTAATATAAACTCATCATGCTTTATAACGATTGGTACCACTCTAGGTTCATGCAGTTGACGTCAGATGTGGAGGAGAAATCTGTCATTGTAGGCGAGAGAAATAGAGTTGCTACAATGGCACTACGCCGAGCCATTGAATGTGGGAACAGAAAGATTGGCATCTTATATGGGGGTGGGCACATGCCCGACTTGGGGCGCCGTTTACGGGAGGAATTCAATCTTGTCCCGTCCGGGGTGCGGTGGATAACTGCTTGGTCCATCAAAAATAAGAACCTCACCACAACTTCTTCTCCTGTTTTTAAAAGCTTGGCGGGCATGCTGAGGTGGCCATTGAACCGGTACCAGACCCTTGCGTTGCTCATCTTTTCTTCGGTGCTCGCGCTTGATCTTTGGTTTTGGGAATTGTTTTTTGGTGCTACGATAAATTGGATTTCTAGTGCAGCTTCCGACTTGTTTCGGTTTATTGACAGCACTCGACTGATATGATTTGTAGCGGTATCTCTTGTAAATATTTTATCAATGGTCGAAATTGTATCTAACATAATGTATGTCTATCTGGCTTGTTGGTTGTTGCAATGAACATTTTTCAGCCATGTTAATCTATTCATTGCATTCTTTTTCGAGAAAATTGCTCCATTGACCTTACATACAAATATTATTGCCAAGAAAACTAAATTTATTTTTAACTTAAATTTGTATACATGCTTCATTCCAATTATGGATCAACGCGTTCAGTGGCTTGCCGTACATCCTGGTCCGACCAAAAAGTCGCAGCCAATATCTTGCACAAAGAAAGTCTGCTTGGCGCGAATGTGTGCGATCAGCCATCGCCAGCTGATGTCAGCCCTTAGCTGCAGCCTGATCAACGTGCAGTCGTGCGCGCCTCCCGAAGCCACAACCTGGCTTTCATCAGCCCGCCCATGGACAGCAAGCCTCGTTTGTGCCTGCGACCAACTTGCGCTCCGGGGTTGCTAGCCTACAAGCAGCGTGCAAGGTCGTGTCATTCCGACATAACGCCTGCCAACAGCTCCCAGAGTAGTGCCTCGTTGATCTCGCAGCAGGCGACGCCGACATAATGCCATTCGCCAGCCACGAATCACCTCATACGCCTAAGTCGGCGGCCGTGTGCCTCGAGTCATCGGCGAGCCTCGTGTTTGTTCATGTATTCGTTGTGTTCGTCGAAAAAAATAAAATATAGTTTTTATCCTACGACCCATGCAGAGGCCTTACATGTTTGTTCTAGAATGTAAATGCATATGGTGTCCTCTTGTACTTTTAATCCATTACAAACATTCACCTACCTAAAAACGATCATCGACATGTCCAAGACTTTATAAGCCATACATAAATTAAACAAGTAATCGGGCAATAATAGTTGGTACACAGAATCCTGCAAAATTGAGTTATGCAATTCTATACTACTATTGTCGTGCCCGTCCATAAATAATTCACATATGATCCTAATTCGTTGCACAAAAATTGAATTAACCATAGCTACATTACAAATTGTTTGGTTTTGGTAAAGAACGTCGGTCAATCTGCATGCTCGAAATTTATGAAAATAATTTTAAGCGCAACGATCTAAAGTTTGGATAAAATTGTACTGTTTAAAATTTGCCGACTCAAAGAAGAGGGATGAGACGAATACGTTGTACGACCTAGAAATCTTTTTTTTGTACTTCAGACACCTCTCTGATTGTCTTGGTGGGTGACGACTTCATAGTTTTCTCTTCACAAATCTTACTAGATCAGTTTTTGGAATAGAAGGAAGAAGATATTGTGTTTAGAAAACGCTATCTTTCTCTCTTTCCTAAAACTTCTCAAACTCTATTTTTCTCTTCGTTTCACATGTTCGGACCCGATAACATAAGAAGAGAAATCTGAATTCAATAACTGATTTATGAGGAGATTTTGTGTATTTATAGGGCACAATAGGAATCATAACGAGATGCTAAAAAAGAACTACCCGTAGGATTATGATACATAGGTTCAAGTACACCTATACCAAATACATGTGAATAATATTTCATTCCGCTGACGAAATATTATTGAACTTTTTTTAGCTACGAATTACACTTTGGCCCCAATTTTATTTACTTGATTTATTTTTTCATGTTTAAGATATAATATTTGTTAACTAATTTAATTAATTAATTTCTTGCATTCAAAATTAGCACCACTCAACCTTTTATTATGCTATAAATTAATTCACCTGCAGTGTTTAGCAAAATAGACGTCTTGAGCACATTTTGGGTATATCATCAATCCAATACACCGGAACACAGTGTTCGTAAATAATTTTAATGTCACATCGTGTGAATAATATTATTATCCAATCCCTTAGTCTATTGTGAACCAAAATTTATATTTTACAACGCACTGATAATATGATCTACAATGTAAAAAAATAGAACAATTTGCATAACTATTTATCATAGATAAATGTAAGTACTTTTGACTAATTCGATTCTCATTCATAATTGGGAATTAGTTTAAATTAAAGCAAAACTTTTAGTATACCAACCAACAAAACCTTCTCTATCCAAAAATAAATAAAGATAATGTATTTTATAATAATCAGAACAAAAAGACAATTGTTCAAACACAAATTTACACTATTATTCAAAGTTAGATAAACAATTCCTATAGTTGATGCAACAACTCTTGCTCAATTGCCCATCATAAGGACAGTTTCCTTACTGTCCAATATCCTACTTCTTGCCATTATCTGCAAATAACTGCAAATATGTGGGCCGCAACAGGTATGTAATACTCCAGGAGCATTATTAACTAATAAGTTAACTTGAACAAAATAAGTAGTTGACCGCTTTAGTCTTGTAATATATTCCTTGAAATTCATGTTCCAGTGCCCAAATTCACCCAAGAATTGACTTTTTTTCTTACCTTTGTCCTTGGCTTGTTGTCCTTTGACTTCTTGCTGGAATTAGAGGGAACATTTACCTTCCTCTTCCTTTTTTAGACATAAATGCCTTGTAACCAGAAGTGGATCCAACAAGTAGCACTGCCTAATCCTTCTTTATTGTGGATCCAGACGTTTTTAACATGTTCACCAACTCAGGAGAAGAAGTCTCCATAGAGTGAATGTTAAAATTGACAACAAAGGTGTCAAATGAGGACTGAAGTTGCAGTAATAGGTCAACATAAACATCATTGTCCATAATGCCTCAAAGGGACAAAAAGCCTTTCAATTAGAGCTATCATCTTGAATCCATGATTTTGGACTAAAGAGTCCTTTGTCATACAACACCTGAAAATCTCTTTAGATATATGATATCTAATTGCCTAGTTTTCTCACCGTACAACTCTTGTAGGTTAAGAAGGATCTCACAAGCATTCTCCAATGCTTCGTTCTGCCTCTACAACTCATTGGACATGGATTCTAATATGTATCAACGAGCATGAAGATTGTCGTTAAATTGGCGTTGATACCTTCCACGCTCTTCGGATGTATTACTCTCTGGAGGAGGAGGAGGAGGAGGGGGGGAGCTTTGTCAAGCACATAGTCCATGTTTTTATATTGAAGGATGGTTTTTTGTTTCTCGGCCAATCAATGACATTCAGGCCAACTAGTTTGTTTTGATCAAGAATACATACAATTGGACTATTCATTTTAGTTGAATGATCTACAACAATAAGGAAGCATAAAATGAGTAAATTATTGAAAATATATTCATATAAGATCTTTGATATTAAATGTCTTTCACTATTTAAGTAAATCCCATAAATTTTTAAAAATCAAATTTTCTTAGTCGACTTGAAGCCCAATAAAATTATTTCATATCCCAATTTTGTGGGACTCATGAAATATTGATATTGATATTCAACTTTTGACAATTGTATTAACAAACAACCTTCAAGTTTATTTTGTCTCACATTTCTCATATAACCCAATTTTATGAGCCCATACAATACTAATGTCAAATTAAACTCATCAAACTTCGTGTAAATGGCGCATTGAAATGTCGCATGACCAATGGTCAACACAAAGATGAGTGCATCGCATGATCATCCCAGCTCTTGGTAGAGATCACAACTTTCAACACAGGAATACTCCACGACTCATGGCCAGTGACCAAGCGTCGTAGCATCACATGTCATTTACCCACAAAGGCGTGGACCTTTTTCATTGAGTGACCTTCAATCAAAAGTGGAAATTCTTACAATCTAGTCTATTCTCGATGCAAAAAATTAAAACTTTTACAATGAATAGTATGAGTAGAAGAGGACATCTACTTAATTTTACAATGAATAGTATGAGTAGAAGAGGCTCATGATCAACCCTAAATAAAACATACTAAAACATTAATCACATGAATTAAAACCATTAAAACTTACCATTAAAATTAAGTAGAGAGGACATCTACTTCATTTTTATTTTTGGTTTGACAATTAAATAGACGATGAAAAATATTTAAATTTTATTTTTGGATTTAAACGATTTGACTTACACAAAGTTGAGCTAAATATGAAATGTTAATGCTATGCATTTATGGTTTAGTATAATAAACGTCTTGAGCTCATTTTGGGGACATCATCAACCCACACACCAGGACACAGTGTCCGTAGATAATTTTAATGCGACATCATATATATAATATTATTATCCAATCCCCTAGTCTATTAATTCAACAAATGAATCTCAATTTTTGGTAAACCAAAATAATAAATATCAAAATATATGTTCATTTATTATCTTACGGATTAAGAGTAGAATGAATACTGAGATCTAGTTTATTCACTTGGTTAGTATAAAATGAAGTTATCACCATGGTTCGTTCAATACATTCTAAATGTACTATTCTAATTTATTAGTCAACACCAACTGATTTCAAAAATAACACAACTATCGTTCATGATTGTTTGTTCAATTATATAGTTGTGAACCAAAATTTATATTTTAGAAGGAACTGATAATATGATCTACAATGTAAACTAATAGAAAAATTTGCATAATTATTTATCATAGAACAAATGCAAATACTTTTGAATAATTTCAATTATCATTCATAATTGTGAATTGGTTTAAATTAAAGCAAAACATTTAGTATACCAACCAACAAAACCCTTCTCTATCCAAAATTGAAATAGAGATAATGTTTAATGTTTCTTATAATAATCAAAACAAAAGGACAATTGTCCAAAAACAAATTGACATCATTATTCCGAGTTAGATAAACAGTCCCTATAGTTGATGTCTGGCGAAATTTCAGAAAAGATACACCAAGTTTGGTGTTGTCAGGAAACGAGACATTATTTTGTCCCTAATGGAAAAGATACATTTAGTTGCCAGTTTGGCCAAATAAGATGCATTAATCACCCAGTCCAAATAATATAATGAGTGGCATGATAAGATAATGACGTTGCATTTAAACTTTCCTTCATTTCCTACGCATTGTTTACATCTCGTGATGTAAGCATCCTCCTTTCCAAATACACAACTATACCTAGATAAAATAAAAAAAAAA